CTCTCACTTTGTTTAATTTAACATTTCTATATATATTGACTTGACAAGTAAATGTGTGATCAGATTGTTCGAAATGTATAGCGCTAATACATCACATTTTTCAGATAGTCTTTGTCTTCTAATAACGCTATCAGAATCTTTTTGCACCAAAAGAGAAGGTCTGTGTAGGGATATGAAACGTCCGCACCATACACGAGATGGCAGAGCTGCGCAGATTGCAAACGAGATGAAAAGATGCGGAATCCAAGTACTGGGGATATGTGAAAGCAGACGAAACGGGAATGGACTCACCAAATTGTCAACGGTTCAGTCAGTGATCTACTCCGGTCACCAGGAAGATAACCACGCGTACATCGAAGGCGTGGCTATCATGATGTCACCAACGGCAACGAAAGCCCTGATACAATGGCAAGCGATCTCTTCCAGGATAATGACCGCCAGATTCAACTCCAAAGGAAGGAAAGTGTCAGTTATACAATGTTATGCATTCACAAACAATGCAGACCTCGAAAAGAAAGAAGAATTCTACAGACAACTACACGCAACAATGGACAATACTCCAGCTGGCGACATTAAAATACTAATAGGAGACATGAACGCCAAACTGTGACTAGAAAACACAGGAAGGGAACTCATCATGGGTACAGAAGCTCTCGGAGAAATGAATGAAAATGGAGAACTCTTCGTCGACTTCTGCGCCTTCAACGAACTAGTGATTGGTGTCAGTATTTAAAAACACAAGGATATCTACAAGGCTACATGGTTGTCACCAGACGGGAAAACCGAAAACCAAATTGACTTCATCTCAGTAGTGATCAAAGAAGTCCTGGCGCAGCCTACTGCACACAAAAGTTGTGGTAAGAAGAGGAGCAGACGTCGGCTCAGACCCCTATCTCGTTCAAGGTACACTCCAAATCATATTCAAAACTTTCAAGGAAACAGGAATTGCAGATAGACCACACGTCAATTCGAATACTCACAAATTGAAGGATCAGGATACAAAGGACATCTTCACTGAAAGTATACGGGAAAAGGTGGAGACACAAATCAACACTAGCGTAGAGGTCGACGTTGGGAAGCACTGGAACAACCTGAAAGTGGTGTGGAGTGAAACCTGTAAGGACTTTCTGGGCAGAAAGAAGAGATGGGACAAACAGTGGCTCACTGCGGACACTTGGAATGTTATAGAAGAGAGAGTGATGTTCGAACAGTAGATTATGTGGTGCATCGGCGAGCAACGAAAAGAGGAGTTGCATGCAAGCTACAATACGCTGAACAAAATAAAGAAGAGAAGTGCCAGGGAAGACAAAAGAAAATATTATGAAGCTATTGCAAGTGAAGCAGGACAAGCTGTAGACAAAGGAGACCTCACAACACTCTACCAAACAATTAGGTTCCTATCAGGGAAACGTTCAACACAAATTAAGCCAGTGAAGGATGACAATGGAAAGACAACCATCACAGAGGTAGTGCAAGGCAGACACTGTTCTGAACATTTCAAAAGACTTGCAAATCGATCGCCACCTGCAATATGCCTGACAATACCAACAACGGAATCAAAACTACTAGTAATCATAGAGCCCACGACGAAATCAGAAGTCCTGTATGAAATCCAGTTGCTAAAAGCCGGCAAAGCAGCAGGACCAGAACGAACCCCAGTAGAAGCATTGAAAATGGACCCAGGGACAACAGCGGACTTGATGATGCCATTGCTGGAGAAGGTGTGGAAAGAGGGCAAAGAACCCGAGGACTGGAATAAAGGATACTTATTCAAACTGCCAAACAAAGGAGACTTAATTCAATGTAAAAGCTCACGCGATGTTATGCTTCGGTTCATCCCAAGCTAAATACTAAGCCGAATCATCCTGTAGAGAGTCAAACACGCCAACCTGGGTGAAAAACGTCGACCGGAACAGACTGGGTTCAGGAGAAACAAGTCATGCATTGATCAAATCGCCACACTACGGATCATCAATGAACAAAGCTTGGAATGGCAGTCACCTCTCCACCTCACTCAACTTCGTCGACTTTGAAAAGGCCTTCAGCTGACAGCGTCGATCGAGAGGTGATTTGGCGACTACTCTCATCCAACAGTTATACGACAATGCTGCATACCAAGTAATCCACAACGGGGAATTCACGGAAGCCTTCAAAGTGAGGACGGGAGTGGGACAAGGCTGTCTACTATCGCCAATGATTTTCCTGATTGCAGTAGATTGGATAATGAGACAGACAACGGGTTAGAGGCAGTGAGGAAACAGGCATAAAATGGACTCACACAAAAACTTGAAGGGTCTGGACTTCGCCGATGACATATGTCTGATTTCCCACAAACTGGAAGATATGCAAGTGAAAAGCAACAAGTTGGTAGAAGAAGCATCCAGATAAGTTAGGCCATCAAGTGAACATAGATAAAACAGAGGGGATGGAGATTCCTGGCCAACACCATCAGCAATAACAACAGTCAACAATCAGCATAAACGGCAGGAACCTGAAAGGAACAACCTCCTTTACCTAACTGGGAAGCATCGTTTTAACTACAGGCGGATGGAACTGACGAGGATATCAGAGCAAGAATTTTATTTTTTTTTATTTTTGATTACATCTTGATTCCACACCGTATTTTTGGTACAAGTGTGGAATTTTCAGCGTGGATATCGGTAGCCCAAAATTCGCAGGCCGACCATAGATATCAGGTGTGCGTCGGCGTGGGCTCGAACCCCGGACCATGTGCATGGTCGGCGAGAGTCCTAACCACTGTGCCACCGACGCACAGAAAGCAAGACAAGCTCTCATTACTCTGGAGTCTGTGTCAAGGTCAACAGCACTACGCAGAACCAAATATAAGATCCGGATCTTCAACTCCAATGTGAAGTCAGTCAGTGCTACTATACGGATGAGAGACTTTGTGCATCGTAGAGTGCATCTTAAACAAACTACAGACCTTCATAAACAGGTTTCTTCGCTCAATACTTAAGATAGATACTTGATAGCTCAGTGATTTAGGAAAGGCCGCCACAAATAATCTACTCATGATCCTTAGAAAGCAGAGAACACGAAATTCAGCAGAGATATCTTTCATTTTCAAAAGCTGTACAATCGCATTCAAATACATAATTCTTGTTTGATTTCACATAATTACGACGGCGAATAAAAGGTGATAATTGTTTTCAACTAGATGTGGTTTACGAGAGGTTCAGGTCTAGTATACATTTCTCGCTGAGACAAATAATATTTGAGTGGGAAATCTCTTTTAATCTTACATTGGTAAATTTAGTTATGATTACGAGTATTATTATTACGGCTTATTTATCTGTAGCACGTATTGAGTTCAATCGATATGTTCAGAGAAATTCATCACACGACCGTTTGTAAGTACACAAATGGTAAATGTGTGTCCTCGTGATTTTTCTATTTCATGATAAGACACATGTAAAGCATCTTCACATAGTGGAACACCATGTTTGTGACGGATCAGTATTTAACATAATTAGGTTAATGACTGTCATCTCACAGTGTTCAGAATGTGGGTGGTGTATATCTGATTGCTTTCTTGTGGAGTATACTCTACTAGAAGTATCCCATGTTTGTACACTATTTACCGAATCTCTTATGTAGAAATGTTTGTTTAATCGTCGTCCAAAGCATTTTGTTAACCTCTGAACTTGTGACTGTTTTATTAGGTGTTATTACTGATATTTTATACTGGTATAGACACCATCAGTTCTCTGGTTAAATTATAACTGTGATATTTGTTGTTCTAATTACGCCATGTTTTGAAAATTTCGCTTGTATTTCTGAGATATTTGCATCCAAACATTAGCAGATTATTTTACACGAAATACACTTTTAAACGCCATAAATGTCTTCTGTTAGTGTCCAGTCTGAGCATAAATGATTCCAACAGGAAATGGGACACTGTCACAGTTCCTCAATCGTTTACCATCATGATATTTATTCAGATAACTGACAGCTTCGTGTCAACTACAAGTAGCATGGATGAGAATTTGAAATGCAAGATTGAAAGAGTATGACAGACCTTCAATTATCTGAAATCAGTGTTGAAACGTGCTGCATGCAGAACAAGGAATAGGCTTGAGATTTTCATCACAAATGGGCTCGAACAAAGGAACATCTTCCTAGTTTGCAGCATTTTTGTCAAGTCAGTCTATATCTTTGCATGATTCAGAGGCTTAGTTAGTCAATGAAACTGATTCGAAGAGTCTATGGCAAACGTTTTTCATCAAATGCATTCCCTGGTTCGATATAGAAGATCGAATTTTGAGAAGGAATTAACAACAAAGAATGAAATGCAGAATGAAATCAGGATGTACCGGATATGACTGGAGGAGACATTTGATTGACACCAAGAAGAAGCCAAAATGCATTGCGAATGGGAGATGACGAATTCAGTGTTTTCTAAGAATAAAATGGAGAACACCGCGTCAGGAGGAAATGGGGGCGTATGGGATTCATTAGGTCAGGCAAACACCACTCAGCTGAACTTGGTGAGGTGCACATGGGCTGTTGAAGCCCTTAATTCCACTGGAAACCCTATGCAACAATGAAATGTATTAAATAATAACAATAATCGATAGCTGCCTTCTAAATTCGAAATAAGTATAATATATACATTTATTAATGATGAAACTGAAAAGCGAAATTGGTACATTGTTTAAAACAAAACAGAACAGAACAAGTAATTCAACAAAGATGATTACAATTTACTGTCGAAATGAGAAGGGTGTGATGTGAAACCGAAAGAGAATGAGAGTGATTCACATTTATACAAATCGTGAAGATGTCATATGAAAATAAAATGTGGTAGACAAAATTATGAAAGAGTACTGATATCTCTGATAAATGTGAATGAAGACGTTTTATTCCTCTACTTTTTCATTTGTAGACAGAAAAATCTGGATGTTTTTATAGGCGAAACGTATCGAGTGTTAGCGAAATCATAGAAATACCAATGTTTTCACTTGGAATGAGATTCTTGTTTATTTCTCCGCTGATGGGTGTTCAGACTCAGCTGGAGGTGAGGGTTTTGATCCGTCATTGTTGGACATTGGTGGTCCGAGTGGAGGGAACTGTCCACCAGAAGGTAGTTGGTTAATCAATGCAGATCCATGAGGAGATCCTGAAAGAAGGACTGGTGCTAACTGAGGAGTTCGCCCATCTGATGGCGGTGGTCCATATTGTGGAGGTTGTGCGAATGATGGAGGTGGTCCGAATTGTGGGGTTTGTCCGAATGATCGTGGTGTACCGAATTGTGGAGGTTGTCCGAATGATGGAGGTGGTCCAAATTGTGGAGGTTGTGCGAATGATGGAGGTGGTCCAAATTGTGGAGGTTGTCCGAATGATGGAGGTGGTCCAAATTGTGGAGGTTGCCCGAATGATGGAGGTGGTCCAAATTGTGGAGGTTGTGCGAATGATGGAGGTGATCCAAATTGTGGAGGTTGTCCGAATGACGGAGGTGATCCAAATTGTGGAGGTTGTCCGAATGATGGCGGTGGTCCAAATTGTGGAGGTTGTCCAAATGACGGGGGTGGTGCGAAATCTGGAGATTGTCCGGATGGAGGAAGTGTTCGAGGCAAAAGTGGAACCTGTGGGAGTCCATTTTTGTTCAACGGAATACCTAGTGGAAAGAGTAAAAATAGTGAGACAGACTCAATTACATTCAAAACATGGAATTTAGTAATTTATTTTGATAAAAATCCGCACAAAATTAGAACACAACTTTTGTCACTCAGACTATTTTATTCTCAGATAATTTCTCGAGAATAACTGCACAATTATTCTTACGAAAAGAATGCACAAAATCATGTTACCAGCTTCTGAGATGCTCAGTGTTTCTCTTTTCCGAAGTTCAAGAGATAATGAAGTTTCGTTAAAGAGTAACATATCCGTCGGATTAAGAGTATTAACCCTGAACACAAAATCAGTATCACTTTTATGAACAACCGTTCGACGTAAAACTAATCTGTGCTAAATAGTCCTACAAAATCCACCAGAAGATATCTGCGATTTCCAACATACTTCTGAGAGCTTTCCGAAGTGAACGCCAAGTGAGAGGCTACGAGGACTATTTTCATGTGACTTCAAGCTTTTACTTACAAAACCGATTCTAATTTTCTCACTTGTGCATTTCAACAATGAAATGTAATACTACTACTACTAATAATAATAATAATAATAATAATGATTTGCTTTATTCCAAAACAGTAGTCATGATAGCGTGGGGAATTCTCATCATTCACTACAGTGTTGCATCTTTTTTACTCGATAAGCAAGCGGAAAAGCAAAGACGAAATATAATATTACATGATTCATAATCGCAGTCTATTGTGGTAATTACAATGATAATAAAATCGAAATTTCAAAGAATGTGTAAAACAGTGATATTAATCTTATTAGCTAAAATTATTAGTTAATTCAAATAGTGTCACGATTAGATTACTAATAGGAGGGGTGGAAGAGCCGATTTTCTCGCTAATAACATAGTAAGTTGTAGGTTTAACGCTTAACACTATCTGTGTCACATAGAATTCGATCAAGCCGAATGAGGTATCACTGGACGTCTGTGATCGGTTTTATGTGCGGATATTCTTTTCCAGTGACCTCTAGTCTTACTGACAACCGTTAAAGCCTTTCGCATTATGGCATAGTCCTTTATGAGTAGCTCAGGAAAGACTAAGGCGGAGCAGTGAAGTACAGTAGGTAGGATGCATGAGTTGACAAGCTGTGAAAGTAGAGGCTGAGTGACTTCTCGTTGTCTTGATTTCTTGATGTGGAAGGTTAGACGGGCCGTGTTCTTGGAAATCGACGAGATACAGGATGACGAACGAAGAGAGGTCAGAGAATAAAACTACTTCAATGTATTTTATGCTTGACCTAGTTTCCGTTTCAGTACCCTTTTAGCTGGAAACAGCTTGTGAAGCATCTACGCCTTAATGTCAAGTTAATTGACTGAAATTTAGAGGTATTGAAGCAAAAACCATTTAGCTTAGGCCATTGTCTGATATCCGAAGAGTAGCTGTTAAGTTTGGAACAATCAGATCCGGACGTATTTGTCAGCGAGACAATAAGCGAGAATATTCCTGGCTGTTTGTTGTAATGTTGGGCTACCTAGACTTCTATCTACGTAGTTCGCCTGATTTATCGTGTTTTATGTGTATTAATACAGCAAAGTAAGACGTCAGTTCATATGTACGTGTAACAATAACTCAGTTCAAGCCGACTTACTGTTTATGTGAACATTGTAAATGTCACCACTGATAAGTAGAAACAAGAGGATACTTCGCATAATTTTCACACACTTTTCGCAGTAATCAACCAGATGAGAACAATTCTATGAAGAAGGAAGGAAAACACGTTTGATGCGATGAACAGAATGAAAATACGATGATAATATCTGGTCTATCTGTAGTCCTCACTTTTTATATATAATAATAATAACAGCTTTATTCCAAACAGTATTTGTGGTACAGGTATGGAATTTTCAGCGTACTTTAACATCAAAGGACAGCTGAGGCTAACTGCAATTGACATGAGAACGTGACAAGCCAGAGCCTATCCACCAGCTAATCTAACTTCCGTCTATCGAACAACTTGCTCTTTGTTGCAGTAAAAAATTGACTCATATCCTTTGCATGTCAACCCCAACTATATATACAAATTACATGTATCTACAGAAGCAGTTAGATTCGGTGAGCAGAAAGAAGGGCGTAGGTACGATTTTCCGAACATGTACCAAAAAGCCTATGTCTAACGAAGACAGATGCTTTCACAGTGCCTTTGCCAGGCATCTCCTTGACACGGGTCATGAGGTGAACGTCGCAGATGATTCGAAACTATCAGTAGGTGAGGGAATTCGATTCTCCCCAAGTTTTCCGAAGCAAACTCCATCAAGCGCACTGAACCTGATTTATGCGTTGAGAAGGAAGGGGATGTCAGTCTTTCCTTGCACTGCTTACTGGACGTTTCCATTATCGATTTCATCTCATTACAAAATGTTGAAAATTTCGATTGGGTAAAACTGTTAATGTTCGGGATAAAGTGTTTACTATTCTTACTAGCATTGTATACATATATTGACTGACTAATTTTTGTTTGAAGATGAACTCTTCAAGGATGTCAAGATTGTTTTCATGCGTGTAATTAATGATGTCTTTGAGTTGTAACCAAGTGATCATAAGCCGAGGGAATAAATGATGGTTCTTGCTTCGTTCAAATTCATAAAGCGTAATAAATGTATGAAGTATAAAGATGTTTAATGATGACGGTAATAATAGTAATAAGAATCAGTAATAGTAATAGCAATAGTTAGACCTACCTATTTCTCTAATGACAGATGAACTGATTAGCTAAATATAACTGAAGTATTTATAAAACTTTTACCTGTTACACAATCACAATTTATTATCACGTGGTTACCTCAATTTAATTAGGTCATTCGACTTCTAGAAATGATTATGTGACTGTTTCGAATCAATCAGATCACTGGTACATGATTAATTCGTTATAATACAAACAGTCAGAATTGGTCATTCATTAGAAATAAATGACTGTCAGCAGTGTTTCTTTTGTGTTTTTGTTTGATAGTGCAGTTACACACTGTTTAACACATTATTAGGCATGAAGTTGTCAATCAAGATCTGATGATTGATGTCTAAGTCTTTATCTTGGAAAAAGACTGTTGAGTGTTGACTTCGATGGTAGTGTTTAAGATTAATTAGTTGAGTGTTGTTGACCTGATACACAGTGGATGCTTTTTGAACACGTATCATCCACTCGATTTTGTAAAATGATGTAGGCTGTATGTCTACGACAGATAAAACTTTTTTCTGTCTTACCTCTAATGAAATGTTCGAATGATGAAATTAGGAGTATATTTGTGATGCATGAATTTAGACTTCCCAGTAAATACCACTAGTCAAATGAGATTCTTCTTTAACTTACGCAAAAGGCTATAAACAAAAAAGCAGATACAAAATGGTACAAAAATTATACATATAGCAAGAATGTGGGCATTGTAAGTGTTATGGAATGATTTAAATGTCCAGTCGATTTATTTACTCTTATTATTATTGTTCCGTTGGATTTAGAATAAGATATAGGGCTTCAGGAACACAGCTCCACTTTGCTGTATTTTCTCCGATCCTCTCCAGCTGGGTCAACGATTCGCTTAACTCTCTCTCATCTCCTCCTATTACGATTTCCTCCCTGCCACCCTCGCACTGACGACTGACGCGCCGCTTCCTATTAGTTTTCCACTCGATCGATGACCTGCACAGCGAGCCAGGTCATTCGACGATAACCTCAACGTGTACACGATCCATCTCCATTTCCTCCTACATATTTGTTGAGAAATTGGCTCTTGTTCCGTTGCTCCATTATGCGTAAATTTTGTTTTGATAACGTCTCACAGTGTTATACAGTAATGTTTACTGATGACGTTTCGAGCACAATTTATTGCTCATAATCATATCAAGGTAATCACACGACTTCCTAAATTCATTTATATAGTTCCATTGTTTTTCTCTTGACTTTCACTTGATTTGATTGGTAGTAGTATTTTCCATATTTCAGGTATGAGTGACGAGTCATTCCTATTGCATGTGTTGGGTGTAGACTCGATGAACAAGGATTCAGTAATCAACCTCTCTCTCCACCTACCTAGATTACTTTTTAGAATTTTAACCCTCTCCCACCCTATTGTGTGGTTGTGTGTTAGCGCATGCATTGCAATTGCTGAGCTTTTTTCTAAATTACTTATCTTCTCGGGGTCAACCATTCTTACCTTAGCTAAATTCTTATGCTCTGACAATCTGACTACCCCTGACCTACTAGTTTGACCTATGTAGTTGACCTCACAGTCATTGCATGGTATTTTGTAAATAATATTATTTTGTCTAATTGGGTCAACTGGGTCCTTTAACCTACAAAGCTTGTCCCTGAGTGAGTTTGTAGGTTTAAATGCCACCCTAATTCCTATTTTATTCAGAATCCTACGTAGTGTCTCAGATGTCCCCTCTTTATATGGTATAACTGTGGATGACTTATATTCTTTCTTATTTATGTTATTATTAATAGTTTCACAATTATTTTTATTTTGTTTTTGGCCTTTAGTGATCTTCCCAATGAATTTTATAGGATAGTTATTCAACACCAACGCTTCTTCTATCTGTTTTAATTCATCATTTAGATCTTTTTTTGTGCTACTTAGTGCCACTGCTCGGTTTGTTAAACATTTAACTAAGCCTGCCTTAACAGTTAAAGGATGAGACGAATTAAAGTCTAAATATCTATTAGAATGCGTTGGTTTTCTATAAACACTAGTGTGTAGTTTGCCTTCTTCTATTCTTTTTATCTTACAATCTAGCATAGCTAATTCTCCTTGTTCATTTTCTGATTCAAATGTGAATTTTATTCCCTCAACTTGTGAGTTTATATGTGTCAAGAAGCTAGAGATGTGTTCTGTTTTTAGCACTGTGAAAGTGTCATCCACATATCTCCACCATATTTTCGGAGTAGGGTTAAATGTATTGAGGGCACTATTTTCCCAGCTGTCCATAAATATGTCTGCTACGATAGGGGATATTGGTGATCCCATTGCTACACCTTCTGTTTGTCTATATATATATATATATATATATAGTAGGTCAGGGGTAGTCAGATTGTCAGAGCATAAGAATTTAGCTAAGGTAAGAATGGTTGACCCCGAGAAGATAAGTAATTTAGAAAAAAGCTCAGCAATTGCAATGCATGCGCTAACACACAACCACACAATAGGGTGGGAGAGGGTTAAAATTCTAAAAAGTAATCTAGGTAGATGGAGAGAGAGGTTGATCACTGAATCCTTGTTCATCGAGTCTACACCCAACACATGCAATAGGAATGACTCGTCACTCATACCTGAAATATGTAAAATACTACTACCAATCAAATCAAGTGAAAGTCAAGAGAAAAACAATGGAACTATATAAATGAATTTAGGAAGTCGTGTGATTACCTTGATATGATTATGAGCAATAAATTGTGCTCGAAACGTCATCAGTAAACATTACTGTATAACACTGTGAGACGTTATCAAAACAAAATTTACCCATAATGGAATTACACTTACCACAGTGCACAAGTTTTATTCTTATATTCTTGTTCCGTTGGTTTGTTATCAGCCGAAGTTTCTTGTTGCTTATCATTTCTTTCTGGCTATTTGATCTTTAGTATGAAGCCAGCCAGTGAAGGTGGCAGCTGTTGATGAAAGTCTCCTGTAATTCTGCGGTGGCCTGTTGGAAATCCTCTTCGTGACACGCAGTGCAGGTTTCTCACCCTGACCTATTTCGCATTGGTGTTGAAAAACTGAGTCGTGTTCCTTGTAATGAGTGTAGAAGATTACCAAGCTGGTTTCAGGTTGATGAATGCGTTTCTCGCATTTCCGATTCTGACTGGCTTTGATATGTTCATCAGCTCCGGCTGACTGCAGTTGAATCGCTGCTTCCTAGCCGGATAAGTGAAGGAGGTAACATCTGTCACATCTCTCGTGTTGATGGTGATTGGTGGTGGTTGTTGTCCTTGTTGTGGTTCGTTGGTTATATTCATCAACTCGGCCTATCAATGTTCACTTGGAGTGCTGTCTTCGCTGCTGGCCTCTTCACCCAGTTTGTTGGTTTCAACCTGCAAGTCTTCGAGTTTGTGTTACATTAGACATATATCATCCAGGCGCGAAATACAGATCGTCTAGAGTCTTCTTATCGGTGATCTAGTGTATTCCTGTCCTCTCACTCACAATGCACAGTCTGACGCATAATCTAGGCCCCTAAAATGAGGAATATCACCAGTGATAGTAGACAGCCAGCTTGTCTTACTCCTGTATTCACTTCGAACGCTTCGCTGAGTTTTCTTTTGTGGAACACCTGACACGTGAAACTGTCACAGTGTTAGCTGTTGGATGAGGTTGACAAAGCCTTGGACACTGTACGCCGTAGTGTAGAAGTAGTTTCCAAATTACTTCTCGGTCAACGCTATCTGTCGGAGGCGTTTTCGAAGTTGATCAATTTGAGGTGGAGTGGTGCTTGACTGTCATTCTATTCTAGGCTGTGTTCTGTGATGACGATGCGTAGAGTTACAATTCGATGAGGCTATGATTTGTTTTCTCTGAATCCAGCTAGCTTGTTTCGATGGGGCTGGCGGATTTCTGTGTTTAGTGCATTCTCTATTCTCTCCAGGATGATCCGACGTATTATTTTACTCGGCGTGGACAAGAGTCAGTTCTTGCAGAGTGAGGCGTAAGCTGCTATTCTT